TTGTGGTGCTGAAGTCTCTGGTGGCGACGTGCTGCAGCTTGCTTTCCTGCCGCTGCTGCTGCTATCGTAGAAAGCACAATCGAGGGAGCTGCAGCTGCTGCTTGTGTTGCTGCTGCTGCTTTTGCTGCTGTTGCTGCTGCTGCTGCTGCTGCTTCTGCTGCTGTTGCTGCTGCTATCTTAATAAGCAGAAGCACAGGAACTGCAGCACCAAGCAGCAGAGCAAGAAGTCCGCCACTGCTCGTTGCTTCGTCACAGAGAAAGCCTCAGGGTTAACAAGCTGCAGCAGCAGCAGCAGCAGCAGCAGCACACAGCAGCAGCAGCAGCAGCAGCAGCAGCAGCACACAGCAGCAGCAGCTGATAGGAGCACAAAGACGACGACGGTTGCTGCAGCATTTAAGAGGTGCAGCAGCAAAAGCAACAGCTAGCAGCAGCGGCAGCAGCGCCAGCTTGCAGCTAGCAGCAGCAGCTGACAGCAGCATGAGCAGCAGCAGCAGCAGCAGCAGCAGCAGCAGCAGCAGACGTACCTGCGCGCGTAGACACCCCGTAAGGGCTGCTGTGCCGCAGCAGGAGAAAACAGCAGCAATGAATGCAGGCTTAGGAAAGGTTGTGTCTGCGACAAGGGGAAACAGCAGCAGCAGCAGCAGCAGCAGCAGCAGCCACAGAACAAAACCATCGAGCAGCTGAATCTGCTGCGGGTACTTTGAGGTGTACGTACACCACGCGCTGCGCAGCATATCCTGAAGGCGCCAGCTGCTGCTGCTGCTGCTGTTGCTGCTGCTGCTGCTGCTGCATGCTGTCTCTGCAGCAGAATCCTTCGCTGTGCTGCTCATCTCCTCAGCCTGAGACGCTGCTGCTGCTGTTCCTGCTGCTGTTGCTGCTGCTGCATCGATGCTGCGCCGCTGCTGCTGCAGCGGCGTGCTGCGGTGGCGTGGCTTCATATGGCTGCTGCTCAGGAAGCTTCGACTGTCACTGCAGCAGCAGCAGCAGCAGCAGCAGCAGCATCAGCAGCACGAGCAGCAGCCACGGGGCTGCTGTCTTGGGGGCCCCCCAGGCAGTATATACAGCAGCAAGGGTTTGTTGTTTTTGTGTTTTTATATTTCCTTCTTCTCGTTTCTATCACTAATATAATGTGCTGCTGCTGCTGCTGCTGCTGCTGNTGCTGCTGCTGCTGCTGCTGCTGCTGCTGGTCTGACCATGAGACAGCTGCATGCGTCGGCAGCGGCGTTTGGGGCTTATATAAGAAAACTAGAGAAACCTTTGGCTGTAATTTATTTATTAAAATTAAAATTAAATTTATTTTTTATTTGTTTCAAATAAAATAAATTAAAAAAAGAAGAAATACCGTCGGGCTGCATGCCGGCAACAGCGCTACTGCTACTGCTGCTGATGCTACTACTACTGCTGCTGCTGCTGCTGCTGCTGTTGCTGCTGTTGCTGCTGTTGCTGCCGTTGCCTTCGCTGCTGTTGTTGCATTGCTATTGTTGCCGCTTTGCTGCTGCTGCTGCTGCTGCTGGACCCTTGCTCCTGCTGCTGCTGCTGCTGCTGCTGCTCACGGTGCCGTGCGTGCTGCTGCAGCAGAGCAGTGTGCAGCCAGCTGCAGCGCAGAGCTGAGTAGCGCAGCCCTGGTTGCTGCTGCAACAACAACAACAGCAGCAGCAGCTGCTGCTGCTGCTGCTGCTGCTGGCCTACATGCTGCTGCTGCTGCAGCGAGAGCAGCAGCAGCAGCACGCCAGCAGCATTCATCGACCGCAGCAGGTCTGTGTCTACTGAAGCGGCTGCTGCAGCACCACGGATTGCTGCTGCAGCAATGGTTGTTGCTGATGCAGCACTCGGGGGTGCTGCTGCAACGTCTGTGGCTGCTGCTGCAGCAGTGCTGGCTGCTGCTGTAGCACTGCTGGCTGCTGCTGCAGCAGTAGGGGGCGCTGCTGCAGCAGCTGTCGTTGCTGCTGCGGCAGTGGGGGGTGCTGCTGCAGCAGTGGTGGTTGCTGCTGCAGCAGTGGTGTTTGCTGCTGCAGCAGCAATGGTGGCTGCTGCTGCAGCGGTGGTGGTTGCTGCTGCAGCACTCGGTGGTGCGGCTGCAGTAATGGTTGGTGCTGCTGCAGCAGTGGTGGCTGCTGCTGCAGCAGTGGTGGTTGCTGCTGCAACAAGGGTGGCTGCTGCTGCTGCGAGAGTTGTTGCTGCTGCTGCAGCAATGGTGATTGCTGCTGTAGCCGAAGGGGCTGTTGCTGTACAGGTGCCTGCTGCTGCTGGAAGGGCTGTTGCTGCTGCTGCAGCAAAGGCTGCTGCTGCAGCAGCAAGGGTTGTTGCGGCTGCAGCAGCAAGGCCTGGTGTTGCTGCTGCTGCTGTGCTGGGGGCCTCTGCGCTTGTTGAGGGAAATGCATTCGTTGCTGCAGCTGCTGCAGCACTTGTAGCTGTTGCTGCTGCTGCTGCCCCGAGCTTTGCTGCTGTGAGGGTTGCTGCTGCTGCAGCAATCCCTGCAGCAGCGGAGCCTGGGGCCACTGCTTAGCGCCTGAGCTCTGCTCCTGCTGCAGTCGTGGTTGCTGCTGCTGCTGCTGCTGCTGCTGCTGCTGCTCGAATGGCGGCTTGAGCAGCATTAAGGGAGGAAGGCGCAGCAACGGCAGCTGCTGAGGATTACTTAAACTCTGCTGCTGCTGTTGCTGCTTCTCCTGCTGCTGCTGCTGCTGCTCCTGCTGCAGCTTGGAGGAGTCTTTAGGCCCAGCGAACAGCTGCTGCTGCGTTTGCTGCAGCGGCAGCAGATTCAGCTGCCCCGGCTGCAGCAGCTGAGCCAGAGGTTGCAGCTCCAGCGGCTTGAATAGCTGCTGCTGCTGCGGGAGTTGCTGCTGCTGCTGCTGCTGCAGCTGCTGCAGCTGCGGCAGCTGCGGCAGCTGCGGCAGCTGCAGCAGACTCTCTGGCTGCTTGCTTGGCAGCAGCAGAGGCCCGTGGGGGGCAGCCGGTGTCTGCATGTGCTTCAGCTGCTGAGCGAAGAGTGGGAGCGGCTCTTGCTGCTGCTGCTGCTGCTGCTGCTGCTGCTGCTCGTGTTGCTGCTGTTCCTGCTGCTCTTGTTGTTGCCGTTGCCTCTCTTCCTGTCCTGGCTGCTTCTCCTGTTGCTGCTGCTGCTGTCCCTCCTCCTGCTGCTGCATCTTTTGCTGCTGCAGCTGCTGCGGTTGCTTCTGAGGCACCTCCTGCTGCTGCTCATCCTCCTGCAACTGTTGTTCTTGCTGCTGCTGCACTTGCTGCTGCTGCTGCTGCTGCTGTTTCTGTATTTGTTGTATCTGTTGTGCCTGTTGCTCCTCCTCCCCTTGCATTTGCTGCTCTTCCTGCTGCTGCTGCTGCTGCAGCTGCTGCAGCTGCTGCAGCAGCTGCTGTTTTTTGAGTTCTTTGGCGATATATCTGTGTTGTCTCCTTTCATTGATTTTTTGTTGTCTTTCTCTGTGTCTTTCAGCAGCTTTGCGTCTGCGTTGCTGCTGCTGCTGCTGCTGCAGCAGCAGCTTACGCTGCAGCAGCAGCAACGCTTGTCTGCGGTGTCTTGACTCACGTGTGGGGTCCCCACGCAGCGGGCAGTCTGCCAGCCCCGTAACAGCAAAAGCAAACGGCACCAAGCTGCAGTGTCTCTCGACCTCTTTTCTAGTTCTTTGTCTCCTCAGCAGCCGCTCTGTTGCTGTCTCCTTCATGCTGAGAGCTGCTGCTGCTGCTGCTGCTGCTGCTGCTGCTGGAGATGTACCTGCACGAGCAGCAGCAGCAGCTGTTGCTGCTGCTGCTGCTGCTGCTGCTGCAGCACCAGGAGCACCTGCTGCTGCTGTTGCAGCAGCTATCGATCCTGCTGCTGCAGCAGGAAGCCGCTTCAGCTGACATGTATGGTGAGGGTGCCCCCTATACACCCAAGCACCGCAGAGCAGGTTGCTGCTGCAGCGCGCAGCACAGCTCATCGCGCTGCTGCTGTCTGCGATGGGGGCCCCCAAATCATTCTCTAGCAAAGCCTTACCCGGCCACAAACACAGCGGGGGCCTCTCAGGTGGACACTCATACATGCTGCTGCTGCTGCTGCTGCTGCTGCTGCTGCTGCTGCTGCTGCTGCTGCTGCTGGTGTTGCTGGTGTTGGTGTCGGTGATGGTGGCGGTGCTGCTGTTGCTGCTGCAGGAGGAGGAAGTAGCTGGGTGCGGCTCTGAAGTAGCTGTTGTGGTTGGTGCTGCTGTTGCTGCAGCAACAGCAGCAGCAGCAGCAGCAGCATCATGCGTTTCCTTCTCTAGCGAGTCTCCCTCACCTTGCATCTCAGTATCACCACCCTGCTGCTGCTGCTGCTGCTGCTGCTGCTGCTGCTGCTGCTGCTGCTGCTGCTGCTGCTGCTGTGTTGGTGGGGTGCGGCAGCAACGGGGCCCGCTGATGAAGGAGGGGACCGGGCGAGGCAGCAGCAGCCACTTGAGGAGACAGATGCGCTGTCTGGGGAGAAAGGTGTAGCCGGTGCATGCTTCTGTCTCTCTGCATTGCTGCTGACATTCGTGGGGGCTTAGTGCTGCAACACGAGCTAGGTCGTGGCTGTAGTAGTCTGTGTCTATAGACTCGCAGTAGTTGCTGCTGAGATATGCTGCTGCTGCTGCTGCTGCTGCTGCTGCAGCAACACGAGGAACTGCTGCTGCGGTGCATGCAGCAGAACCGAAATGCCAACGGGATACTAACACCAACTCCGCCTCCTCTTCCTCTTCCTCTTCCTGCTCCTGCTGCTGTTGCTGCTGCTGCTGCTG